AAATGAATTTATACAAAAAATTAAAAAAAAAATGAATTTATACAAAAAATTAACATACTTTGAACATGTTTTTTCGCGTTTTAGCTCCTTTTTGCATTGACGGTTGGTGTTGTGGTTGTTGTAGCGGCAGAATTCTGCCGAGGTGACAATCCTTGGACGGAATAAATCCGGGTCCGTTCCGGTTACGTAGACCCGACTGTCGTGGGAACGGTATTGACGGTCTTCGGCCGCGCTTCAAAAAAATATCCCTGGTCCGTCCAAAACCGGGATGTTCAGAATTCATTCGCGTCGAACTCCTTTTTGCTCTGGTGGCTTTCGGTCCCACTTCAAAAAAATAACCCTGGTCCATCCAACACCGCGGTGCCCAAAGTTCTTATGCATTGGACTCCTTTCAGCACGCAAAAGAACTATATATTGTCAATATGGAATCCATTTGTTATTGTGCATATAACAAAAATTGTGTAAAAATAAAATGATTATTTATATTATATATTAAAAATTATTAATATTAAAATAATTAATCTAAAATAAATATGCAGAAATATTGTAGTGAAGTATAAGTGTATAATAAGTGGGCACGAGTACGATTTCCGTGGCGCCGCGATTTGACGTTGGATTTGGCTTAATTAAGCCAGAAAAAAACGAAAATGAATAAAATTTTTCGATATCTCGCTTTGTTTTCGAGATATCGATACTTGAATATGGAAAAATTTGGGTAAATATATAGTTTAGGTCCCCCAACTAACGAGGCCTGAATAATGAATTTTTTTTTAAATCGTCTTTTTTTTTACGGGTAGATTACAAAGCCGTGAGTGGAAAGTGATTTTTTTCAATAATTTATGTATATTTTACAAAATTTATTTAACACACTTTGCACATATCACATATTCAAGTCACTTAGTTGTTGTTGTAGCGGCAAAATTCTGTTAAATTCAGATCACGTAGCTGTAATTACCAGTTCACCGTGTTAAACATTTTCATAGGAACAAAATATACTGAAAAAATGTAACAGTCACAATATCTTTTGCGCCGCGATCTGATGGTATGGACGAATATCGGAGATCGTCGAACTCCTTTCCACAATGGCGGCCTTCGGCTGCGCTTAAAAAAAAATAAGTTGGTCAAATGGGTACTTAGTAATAAGTAATAAAATGGGTATGGGCGGATAGAGGAGATCCTCCAGATCAAGAATATACACCGATATAGCCGCGGGAAACTTATAGTTTTTGAGATATTTACGTTTAAAGTTGAAAATTTCAACTATTTAAAGTACGTATTTTTTCGATTAAAATGAATTATACCCTTATATTTTTCACTTTTATATCCACTAACACTTCACTCTTTCGTTTTTAGACATTTTTTTTAAAAATATTTGTTGCTTTTATTGTTATGCTGATCATTCTCCAATTTTATTAATTTTGACAATAACAATAGAAAAATAAAATAAAAAGAAAGATTATACCCTAAATACAGGAATCATAATTGTTGATGGACACTAATAAATCTTTAAATTTCCTTCACTTGATAAACCCTGGTGTTGGACTGACCACGGTTATTTTTCTTTGAAAAGCGGCCGAAGGCCGCCAACGTAAATAGTATTTCTGCGCGAACAAACCTTGGACCACCCAGGTGTTGGACCGACCAGGGTTATTTTTTTAAAGTGCGGCCGCCAACGCAAAAAAAGTCCTGCGCGAAAAATTTTGGTATACCCTGGTGTTGGACCGACCAGGGTTATTTTTTGAAGCGCCGACGAAGGCCGCCAACGCAAAAAGAAGTTCTACAAGAAAAGGAACATTGCCATAGAGGATATAGAATAGAATAGAAAATGATTGAGGTATGCACCGCGACCTATGGTCTATTGTGCCCTCCCGTAAGTCACAGCGACTCATCTAGCCCCAGCATATTGATGAAATCCAATATACTGCTAGGTGCTAGTGAGGCGATGCGATCCCTGTTTAGAAACATGGATCTTAGGGCCTTAACTCTACGTCAACAGACTGCTGTGCAGTCCACTAGGTGTTCTGGGGCTTCCGACTCCATGTCGCAGAACCGGCAGTTTGCAGAGGAGACCAAGCCCATGTTAAATAAATGCTTGTTGAGCCTGCAATGTCCGGTGTAGAACGCGACCAGTATTCGGAACTAGTTCCTCGGGAGATTGATTACGGTTTTAAACCGCCTGAGGTTATAACCCCCCATTAGCAACTTGACATGGCGCATGCCTTGGAGATGTTGCCAATGTCTTGTTGTTGTTGTTGTTGCCAATGTCTCCCTGCCTGCTCTTTCCTATTTACGGAGCAGCTCTTTAATGGTATGTGGACCAACCGCTAAGCAGGGTTCTGGTCCTACCATGTTTGTAGAGGCTGCAGAGCCGGCCAACTCGTCAGCAAGTTCATTTCTTGCTATACCCCTGTGACCAGGCACCCAGATGAGGTGCACTCTATTGAGACTTGATAGGCTGTTGAGCCGTTCTATACACTCCTGCACTAGTAGCGATTTGACCTCAAAAGTCGAGATCGCTTTAAGTGCCGCCTGACTATCGATGAGTATGGCGATGCTCTCATTGCGATAGTCGCGTTGGAGGTTTATCTCTACACACCGACTTATAGCATATACTTCCGCCTGGAATATGCTAGGAAAACTTCCCATGAGAATGGAGAGCTTGGTGCGTGGTCCTGAGGTCCAAACCCCTTCGCCGGTTTAGTGCTGTGCCTTAGCAGTAGGTCTAGCGTGGAATCGTTCCATTCTGCCTTACTGCCAAGGGTAACCCTGAACTTCCTAGTGAAGAGGGTATAACAATCTCAAATATCAATGCTCTCTAATAGTTTGTTTTCTAGGTTTGAGATATCTGTTTTTGGGGTATTATTGTTATTATCTGTATTTCTTTCAGAATTAATAAAATTTAACAATATTTTAAAATATTTAATTAAACTATTTTTGCACGATATAATGTAAAACAAATGTGTACAAACGAATTAGTGAAGTAAAAGTGAAAAATATAAGTGTATAATTCATTTTAAATCGAAAAAATGCGTACTTTAAATAGTTGCAACTTTAAATATCTCAAAGACTATAAGTCTCCCGCGGCTATATCTTATATATGCTTGATCTGGAGGATCTCCTCTTTCCCCGAAAGCCTGGGACGGTATACTAAAGCATTCCCGAAGAAAATGGTAATAGTTCAGAATAGCGGCTTTTATGAATTTTGGAATTTGGAAAGGAAATTAAAATGTGTTTTTAAATGTATTTAACCAATAAATAGGATGAATGCGGTTGAAAACTAGATGTTTTTGTTTCAATGATATAGTGTTTAATGATGATTTATTCATAACGTGTGATAAGTAACACAAAATCTTTCAGAAGCGCAGCTCAAGGCCAGTAACGCAAAAAGGAGTTCTATGCGAAAAATTATTAATGGGTTATTTATACCCTGTCATTGGGGTATTATCTGTTTTCTTTATTCTTCTTGGACCTATGTAGCCTAAACTTACTTTGTTTTATTTTTACTATATATAGTTTTACTATATACAGTTACATTTAAAAACACACATTTTAACACATTTTTCAAAAAAAATTGGATATTTTTTTAAAAAAGCCGCTGTTCTGAACATTTACCAAGAAAATTTATGAATATATAGAGTTGTTGATATTTGTATTTGAAGTTAATAAAAAAACAGTTTTAGATGTGAAATTTTTGGCTTCATAGTGAGATTTACACTTCTATTATACAGTTTTCATAGATTAACACTTTCCTAAATTTTTTCTATGTATTTATTTAGTAATAATTATTGTAAAATTATATAATATTTGAAACTTTTTGTGAATTTGAGTACATAATAAATAGGACAATTTTGTAGAATCTGATAGTTGTCGGAATCAGAATTGAAACCGATCAAAAAATGTAGTAGGTGTCATGAATTCAGATATTATTGGTTTGACGGTCGAACCAGAAATCGTATCAGTTTTGGGTCTCACGGAAACCAATTTTATCGGTTTCGTTATCAGAAACAAAGCAAGAGGATTTTTGCTGACACATTTGAAATGTAAGTTAAGAAAATCATTTATATTATTGTTAGGATTTAATTTATCGTTATATCTATAGGGGAAAACATAAGAATAAAACAAAACATGTCATAATTATCGAGTTTATGGAAAACATCAAGAGATTTTAAGAGAATTTACAAATCGTAACAAACGTAATTTAACACCCAAATGCGTCTTTATTAAGTCGATAAAGTGATATAAATCTGCTTACTTTAAGCATGTATACAAACATACAAGTAAATGCAATAACATGCGACTCCCCTGGTGCATCAAGTGGATTACTGTGCTCTTTTAATATATTCCTTTTATGTTTTTCGATGCTTTTTTTCTTTAAATAAAATAAAAGCTAAAATAGCGGAACTCATTGTAAACTTTAATAGACTTCATTTAGCATTTCAAATTTATAAAACGCTTCCTACAAGATGCGTTCCAAAGTAAACAGGACTTAAAAAAAAAGACAGAACAAATGGCTTTATCGGCAAAATCAATTAATTTTATTCACAATAGTCTCCTGCTTTAATACAGCTTTTTGCACGGTCCAAAGGCATGTCGAACGAGTGTTTTAGCTCGTTGCCCGGTATGGCCGCCAGTATGCCGGTGCAAGCCTTTTGAATGGCCTCCACGTC